GGGCGCCAGATGGAACCAAAGGTGGTTAGTTCAGGCAATACTATCAAGTGGTTGTTGATATCATGTGATTGTTAGCATGCACTCATTGTTGTAAAAGTAAATAAATATACACTGGTGCCTCAATTAACTGTGCTAGTCTGGGGAAAGCAAAAAATTATAGATAAAAGAAACAGTGGATAATCTAGGCACAAGTGTATCTCACTGGTTAGCCCATTGTTTAATCTCAATAAAATCTTTAATATATTTAAATTCATTGTTTTAAATTGAAATCTTTTTCTTAGTCATTTAATCACATTATCGTGAAAAATTATATAGTTGTCATAATTATAAAAGCCATATATCAGGGTTGGGCATGCTCAATTTCACTGAAGTTCATGAGTTACACAAGTCCAATTCCACTTTTTTGTCCAATAATATTTACTCTTTTGATTGCCCATTCCCATTTTAATTGCTAACATAAGTGTAAATAGCTCCTACATTTTGGCACTTTTTCTGTTATGGACACAGAAATGCATTCGCACCCTATCAATGCCTGTGAAAAATAAGTAAAACGTTTGTGCAAATCTATGCTTGGGAATTATTAGTAAAAAGCCTTTGTTAAAACAGACTGAAGATACCAACTATCTGTAGGGAAGAGGACAATGCATAACTGGGCAACACTCCAGTACAACCTAAACATGAATCTGTGGTTAATGGACATTCGCTGTGCAGTATAGAACAGTGAACAACAGCTGAAGTTGAGTGAAATCTATAATAAACCTTATGTGTTTTTATATACTATGTTTTGAATCACTAATTAAATAAAGTTAACCAAGCTACAAATATTTTGTATTTCTGTCTTAACAGTTAAGAATAAGAGGCAAGTCTAGGCTTGAACTGGCCGACTCATGATTTAAATGCATGCCAGATCCTGCATGCAAAAACACTTGAACTTTTGCAACCAAAATTAAGTTATGAGCCACAATACCTCCAAAGCATGTAACTTATTGTCTAGAATTGTAATGGCACAATTAATTTGAGGAAATAAATGAACCATGAATAAATGAGGCCCAGACAATTGAGGCAGTAGTGTAGCACCCATTTCCCAGTACAAATAGTAGTGAAGTTAGATGAGGCACAACTGACTCCTGAGTTTTTGGGCTGTCTCCTAGATCTGAAAATATTTGTCAAGGCTTGTGGTAAGACACCTACTAGTGTGTCTGAGTTTATGTATTTTGTTTCCTTTATGGAGTTTATCATTTTCCCTTTCTTTCTTTATGTTATTGAGTTTGTATTTATATTTAAAGTTCTAGCGACAATATGTTTTTGGGAAACAACATTTGTTAACCCTATGGGCTCTGGCTACACTCGGAGCAAAGGGAATGTTGCTCTTGTCACATTTCATTACAAAAATAAAACTAGTTAATGAACTTGTTTGAAATTTGACAAAAACGTTCCTAAAAGTATGTAGTTTCAGAAAAAATGAAGTATTTACTTTTTACTATTTCTAATAAAAATTTGCTATTTTATGTAGCTACTTGCACTCAGACTCTAAATAGTTCACCTGCCAGGTTATTTTTATATGAAGTATAAAAATGGTAATTTTAATCTTACAGTTTTCACATTAATTAATCTCTGGGACCTGATTAATGAATATCAAAAGTTTTCTTAATTAAGGTAAATATTTATATTTTATTTTCCATTTTCTCTACTATATCATTAACTATCTGCTATCATCAACATACAGTGCAAGGAAATGTTTTAAATAAATGCATTTTGAAATAAAAAATTATAAATTACTATACCAATGCAACAGAATTCCACTGTAATTTTATCGGGCTAACTGACTAAACTGTATTTGGGTCTAAAATATGATTTTAACCCAAGTTCTTCGAGCTTCAAAACAAAAAATACTGTTCCTGGAAAATAGGCACATTGTGAAGGCTGAGAAAACCACATGAGGGAAATTCTGAGCTTTTGATTGGTTATAAACATATGATAGAGTGAAGTGAGTGTTTGTAAACGAGTATTTCCAAAAGTGGAAGAGGTGGGTGGGCCTTTGTGTTTGATTTGCTAAATATTTCAGTAAATCGAAAACATATGAGGTTCTTATTTTATTTTCTAGCTTATCAGTAATATGAGTTTCTATTATGAAAATACAGAATTTGTAATTCGACTTCAACACATCTAATTTAAACCAAAGCTGCATTCAACATACCACATGACACACAAAAATTGATGTTTATCTGTGTTCTTGTAATATTTATTTTTAAATTAAGAAATTAATCAATGTATTATACTAAAATGTGAATTATATTCTACAATTTAATGCCAAACATATTGCCATACACTCATAAAATAGTAGTTCAATAAGATTATGAATATAATTTTTCAAACATTATGACATTCCCTCTGAACCTTACCATTAGGAAAACCTATAGCTATAGGGTTAGTTAGACTTTGAATGTGGAGTAACTTGATAACCAGCACACACAATCCTTGCATGTGCTAATACATTTGAATTATCAAAATCTTGATCAGAACTTAATAGGAAAAATGTGATAATAAGTAGTCATGTACAAAAAAAGAAAATATTTGGCTTTGTAAAATGCATACATGTTACAAAGCCAACTAGCATAAAACGTATGCATGTAACAAGTAAAATTGCTAGTTTACAGTATTTAAATAGAAATTATGCTTGCATATTATAGAGCTAACCAAGAAGCAGAAGGTAAGTTGAGAACCAAAATGTGTTGAGGTTTGAGGATGATGAAAAGCTTAGTACTCGGTATAAATTAAAAGAGAATGAAAAGAAGAATAAACAGAAATACACATCTATAAATACATTATAATTTTAACACAACTACACAATTAATACACACAGATATATATATATATATATATATATGTATACACACACACACACACACACACACACACATAGAAGCACCTACAATATTAGATGTTTAAAAAACATGCCTATCAAACTCAAAGGGTGGGTCTAAAAGCAAACAAGTTTTTTGGGGTCTGGCTTAACATTGACAATCTATTATTGGATTCAGAGATGAAGACTGAAAACAAATTATTTATATGGCATGTAAAGACTGAATATCCATGCAGATTTAATTTTCTCTATGGAAGTCACTATCTTTGAATGTATTAAAGTGCTAGGCCTAGGTTTTTCAGAAATGTATAGGAGCCTCCTTAAATTTTGGCCAGTCTCCTATTTCCAGAACTTTTGACAACCATGTAAACAAGCATCTACTTAAACGGTCTACGGATCAGTCATTGAAATAATTATGAGGCGAAATTTAATGAGTCTCTAGCATAAAACAATTTTGATAATTGTTGCTTTGGAAATAATGTATTGATACAAAGGTACTAACAAATTTAAAATACAATGTGTGCAACTCTCATAGAATTAAGACAGTTTTACTTTACTAGCAAGTATTTGAATTTATTGTGACACAGTATGTGAGATTACATGAATCGGCATTTCCCAAACTTTTATCATCCATGCCCCCTTCTTTTTTTCTTAAATGAGTGAAAGAGTGAGCTAAGTGTTGAGATGTAATGCACGGATATGCATCGAAATGCTATATGTGTTGTAGTAATTACTTATTATTTTCATTAATAAAAACTATATAACAAAATGCTTAATTTTAATTTATTGCACTATTGACTTTCCTAATCACTTGTACCTCCCTGGGGAGAAGTACCCCACACTTTGGGAAACACTGACATACATCATGATAGAATAAAAAAAGAAGCTGTCTTGCATATAATTATAATAATCAATAAAAAAAATCTTCTTTGGAGAAATGGTATGTCTTTATATAACTATAATATCTTTTAACACCAACTAGTGTTATATTTAAGATAATTTTGAATAAAATATGGAAAAAATCCAATTCTGGCCATGAATATCCTTATCCTTCTCTATTAGTGGTTTTATTACTAAACCTCTTCATCGTCACCCCTTTTATGATGACATAACATATTGCCTGAAAAATCATTAATAAAGCTCAGCTTTGAAAGCACCTATAGCGAATGGTTAAATGTAATTAGGTCACAAACTGTATGTCAGTGTATAGTAAATAGTGGTTTGAGGAGTAATAATAATTAATGGTTTCTTGAAATATAAACCACCTGGAAATGGGAAATTTAGAGGACTTGGGAACACCACCAAGATCTGGGAAATTTTCTATAGTTTTTTAAGTGTTATTTTCCAACCTGAAAATTTTTTAATGATAAATTATCTTTGTTTGAACACTACTGAAATTATCTTCCAGGAAAAAATGTCAAGTTAGATTTAGAGTACAGGAGGCAGTGGCAAAATTCTAGTTACTCAAATCCTTTATTAAATATTATTGTTAAGTTTCTTGTATTCAAACATCACACTTAAATAATTTATTGAAAAGAAAGTTTATTAATTATATATAAATTGGTTTTGATCCAGAAAATTATCATCAAAAATAGTACTAACTAGTCTGAGCTATTGCCATTTTAAAGGGTCAGGTCCTATGTTACTGATAAATTCTTGTCAATTTCTGTGGTGGTTTTATGATTTATAGTCATAAGTGATGATAGCTGCAATTGGTAAACTAAATTATTAAAATGGATATGTTTATAAATATTAGTCAAGTTGAAACTGATTGGATATATAAAATGGAACTTTCTGATCAACATAAAAAAAAAATTCTAAAATGAACTGTTGAACTACTTGTTCTTTTAAAATGGTGTCACACAACAAAATTTTCAAAATTTTACAATATTAAGAATATACAGAAAACCTTAATTATTATCAGATTTTTTTTTTTGCCAGAAATAAAAATGTTAAGTTTTCTAAGTTTCCTGCAATTTGTTTAAGTATTTTCACTATTAGAAGGAAAAAATAAAGGTATATGGTGGCAGTCCAGAAAGGGTTAATGATGATATTTTATGTAATGTGTTTTTGTTGTGTTGTCTGAGCATGCCAAAACCTTGCTAAAATTTACTTAAGCTCATTTTTTCTTTTACAGATTGATCCAAAAGCTTCTAATCCTCGTGGGTTAAACAGGGTAAATGCATCATTTTTCTTAAATAGTTTAGGATATAATGAGTGTGTTTTGTTCTTGTAAAAAGGTAATTTTTATTGAATTTTAGGTGAAAATGTGTGAATGATGAATTAGTAAATGATGCTAGCTAGTACAAGTTAATAGTTTGATGTATGGTTTTAAGCTACAATGGACTATTATTAAATTTAAACAGAACCTGGTAGATAATTCTAATTACCTTTGTACTTTATATGATGTTTAAGTGGTACTCTAGAAAGTTTTTATAACTATCTAGTACACGGTCAACTAACTATGAAATATATTAAGCTAAGAGTTAAACTGTAATTGTATAATTTTGTTCTTTATAATTTGATAATAGTAGTTGAATGTTTTTGTTATAACTGGAACTTTTTAGAATTTCCTGAAACATTATAAAAAGAACATTTTACTTTTTGTTTTAATATCCAGCCTAAGAAAGGAGTAAACTACCCCAAAGTGTTCTTAGGAGGTTTGCCCTCAACCTGTACCGAAACAACACTGAGAGAATTCTTTTCTAAATATGGACAAGTAAGTGTTCTTGTAATCTGAATTACGTGAAAAAAAAAAAACTAAGAGTGGGTCAAAAGCTTGGTCATTTTGACCAGCCTTGAAACCATGAAACTATTTTTACTATAACTGTTAATATATTAAGTTGTCTTTAGTGAAAGTTGAAAAATATTAAATAAAATCAAGAATACCTCCCTTTTTTAATACTAGAATGGCTGCAAATTGTAACAGACAATTATAGTTATTTATCTTAACAGCTTTAGGCCTCTTAACTTTTCACAACTGCTTTCATTTAATTTTATTGTTTTATTGCTCTTTGAACCATGTCTAACTACAATGACAAGCAGTAAATCACTGGGTGGTATAATGGAGTAAACAATGGATCAAGTTATGTCATGCACATTTAACTGTGCATTTCTCAGGGAGTGAGGATGAAAAACATTTTTCTTCACTACAGTTTTCTTATTATAACTAGTTTTTAATTTTTGCATTTTAGGTTACTTTCATTTTAAAAAAATTTTTAAAGAACTAATTCATTTGGCTGTCAAAAATTAATTTTAGAAAATCAAAAACATACCACTCGCTAGGTTAAAAGTTATGAAAAGTACTGTAATTTACCTGGCTTTCTTTGGTTCAGGCACATTCAGCTCTGATGACACATTATTAACTTTTACTGCTCAAACTGAGAATATAATAATGTGATTTACGTAGTGTACAATTTGCTCTTTCTATGAATTATAAACATTTTCAATAGCAATGGGAGAATTATGGGTTTTTTTTAAAAGTCATAGGGTATTGGAGGGCAATTGAACAAATAAGTGATATTTTAGTAAAGGAAGAAGTTGTTGAAGTTTTATTTTCTAGCTAGTCAGTATCTGTAGCACGTGTTTTTAATTGTTCAACTAAATCTGAAGCAATTGTCAGGGAAGAGAAAAAACCCATCAATGATAAATCACAGTGCCATTAATTCGTGTGACTGACAGTTACAGATTGAGAAATTATTCAGATATTTCCTTTGAAAAATTAAGATATGTTAAAGCTTAAATAATAGAAAAATTTGAAATATAAATTTTTATGCACTAAGCTTATTGACATTAATAATAAAGTTATTTAACTCTCTCCACATGGGCTTGGTCAGTTTGACTGACCACATGACATTTTTGTTCTCGTGTAAAGTATTTATAGATTTGATACTACTAACTTTTGATATTGTGTGTATATCTTCATGAAATTTGACAGTTTTTCAGTAAACATTATAAGCCTTTCACTTATATAAAACATTTTTTAGTTAAGTATTTTTTATAAACTAAAAAATTTTTTATCCTAGAATATAGTGAGTATTTGTTTTGAATAATCCTTGTGCAAAGTGATTTTAATGTTAAGATTAAAAAGACTTTTTTTTCATCTCGGAAATCTCAAATTTCATTTATGTGATTTCTAAAACCTCCTAAACACTTTTCAAATGTTTGTTTACAGTAAAACATTATATTTTATCTGTTATTTTCTCTACCCTAACTTTATACAAGGTTGGTTAATAGAGGTAAGAAGATACCTAGAGAAAATGTCATGTGAGTTACACTAGGGGAAATTCTGAATTTTAAAAAATATTGCCTTATAAAATTAAGATCTTAAAACTGATGTACTATTAAAATATGGGTTATTAGCTAAAATTTTATGCTATACTAATTGGTATAACATAAACAGAAAGTAGTTTAATAAAATTTTGAATGTAAGACACTAAAACCTTGTGTCATGTGCAGTAAAGTATACCCAGGGCAAAAAGAGTTAGATTAGTGATTTTTTAATATAACTGTTAAAGGTCATGACATGCACACTTTGAATTCTACTCATATCCATAGAGTTAAGCAGTTATAAGTTTTTAATGTTTTTTATTATTACTTTTGAAGCACATAGAGAAAAGGATTTTCAATTAAGAAGTATATTTTATCTATCTAGGTGATGGAAGTTGTTATAATGTTTGATCAAGAAAGGAAAAAGTCCAGAGGTAAGATTTGAATTTTTGTTGTTGTTGTTGTAAAAAAGATGTTAAGAATGATATTACCAGAAATAAAAAGTTATTTTTGCAGTTGCCAAATGTAAGAAGATTTTTAAAAGTTTTAAAAGATAAGTTGCCTTTATGATATATGTAACCTAAATTGTTGTTATAGTTTTTAACTAACTTAAAATATCAAAAGTATTATGTTGAAATAATTTATGGTACATGTCATAAGCATTTCAAATGAGCATTATTTAGGCATCTAAAATATTTTATACTATTTTAAGTAAAGTCACTAGGTAGTGCTGTATAATTTATTTTGTGTGTAATCTTTACTTGCTTTATGATATAATTGTGTAATGTTTTTTTTGGGGAAATTGTTTTAACCTAAACTTGTATCATAGTTTCTAATTCTTAAAATATTGAATTATTTATGTTGAAATGGTTTTAGTACTTATCGTAAACATTTTGAATGTATATTTAGGCATTTAAAATATTTTATGCTATTTTAAGTAAAATCACTAGGTAGCTCTGTATGATTTTATGTGTAATCTGTATTTGTTTTATGATATAATTTTGTGATACTTTCATTGTCTTTTTGTTTTATAGGTGGAACCTAAAATTTTAAAATCACATTTGACATAACTGACTGGAGTAATTAAGTTTGATGAAATAATTATGGAGTATTTTAGTATGTTTCTTTGTATGTTTAGTCAGTTTTCTTTAAGAAAACTTCTTAATTGAGTAGTTTGAATGTAAAAGCTAACCACATAAATTAGAACACTATGATACATTATTATAAGTTAAAAAAAAATAGAATACTGGTGACTTCTCTGAGGAATAAAAGTTGAGAAAATACAAAGGCATTTTTTGTTGTATTTTTCTTATATTTTCTTAATATTGTATAGTGTTGATTGCCATATATTGATGAATTAAAATCAGGTTGAAAATTCAAATAGTTGCGGATTTTAAGGCTTGCATGTCCTTTTAATATACTTATTGTAGAAATTTCTGGCAGAGCTTTGGTCTTTCATCAGACCAAGTGTCATATAGTACAGCAAAGCATTTTTAGGAAATCTTACCCTGCCTGTGCCTTTAACTGTGCACAACCAGTCATTTGTGTCATTTGTAGATCCCTAAGTAGTTAAGTTTGTGTTTTCCTTGACTATTAGGATTTGGATTTTTGTCATTCGAGAAACAAGAGATCGTCCACAGAGTTTGTGCCGACCATTATATCACCATCAACGGCAAGCAGGTGGAGTTGTGTTTTAATTCATTATCCCCTTTCATGTTTTTGGATGGAAAGGGTCAAGTTGTTTCATACATCCATCTCTCATGCTAAAGGGAAAGTCTGGAAAACCCAGAGACTTAGATTATTTGGTGCATAGAGTAAATAAGTTATGTTAAAATTTATTATAGTTTTTAAATGTAGAGATAGGTTAGCTTTGATAATAGATTGTACTAGTAAGTTATTAGCGAGTTATTGACTCTAGTTTACGGAATTTTTCACATTTTTTCAAGAAAGCTTCCTTTATATGAGCATGAGAGAAAGGTGTATTTCATTTAGTTTCATTATTTGTTGTAATATTGATACTGTGCTGTTAAAATGTTTTAATATTTATTTTATAAACATAATATATAATTCTATTATCTTTTAGAATATTTGAAAATACAGTTATTAAATTTGTTATATTGATTCTAGGCAGATTTTAAGAAATCTTGTAAGCTAATGATTTTTAGGTTTAATTTGAGATACCTTAAAAATATGATTTAAATGATACCAAAAAATTTTATGATTACAAAGAATAGAGTTATTTCAAAGTAAGGAGGGTTGTGTCACATTGTTCTGGGTGTCATCCTATTTTTATTCTTCTATATATCTGAACAAGGTATGTTGCACCAAGCAGAATGCAAAGAAATGAGCTGCATGATAGTCAAAGGCTGGTACCTCTTGGATTTGTGGTTTTCAAACTTCACCTGTCCTCAGGACATGTGATTATTAATTCAGTAACTAACCTTGAAAAAAGTGGAACATTTTGTTATATTAAGCAGTTCAGCATTATCAGTAAAATAATTAATAAGCATACCTTAAACTGAAGTTTCTTAACATCATTGTATATTACACCAGTTTTCTGCAGAAATTTGCTGCTAGACTTTGAGTCAATAGTTCAATAAAGCAACCTTTGTTAGGGAAAAATGGGGGGGGGGGAGTGATTGGCAAGATTTAACTCAGTGTTTCATCAACCTTGTAAAATGTGCATGCTAATGTCAATACATAAGTTTCAGAGTAGCATTAGTGGAAGGTTATAGGTACACTTCATAAAAATTCAATATTTCCTTTAATTTGATATACGTTGAGTAACTTTTTTACCCTGACCTTGTCATGTAAACTGGGGGTTCCCACATTTTATGTCACTAACAATTATAATCTCAATAATTAATGTGTATATCAAAGCTTATGTTAAAAATATGAAATACTAACTAATATGAAACTTTTAAGTAATGTGTAGGGTCCATTTGTAAGGCTGGAGGATAAAGTTGCATCTATTACGTAGCTGGCATTATCACTTGCTATTTTTATTGATTAAACTTAGATGTAAATAAATCATTGTTACTTAACTTTCAAATGTGCTACAAACCAAAGTCGTGAACTGTCGTAGATATGATGATAATATCAAAATTTTGTTGTGAAATGGTATTACTGCAAATTTCAAATATGACGTTTTATATTTTTATTTATTTCATCAATAAATTTAATGTTTTTCAGAAATTGAAAAATTTTGTAATACCAATTATTACTTTTATTTTTTTTATAATGCCACGAGGTTGTAATGTTTCCTAACTTTTGTATTGATTACCAGAGCTATGAATATTAAGTCTCCTTATAATTGTGGGTTATTAATAAATCAGGGTATAAACTGTTTTTAAAGAGAGAGAAATTTTGTAGCACTTTTTATCTTTTGTTATCTGTGTTGTGTAGGTGTGTGTGTGCATGCACTTTGTTTGTTTTTCATAAAGTTCTATGTATAGTATCATGAATTCCATTTGTCTTTATACCTCTCCGTACAATAGGTTGAATGTAAGATGGCAGAACCTCGTGAGATGTCCAAAAGTGCTAAAGATTCAAAGCAAGGGAATCAAGAAGTTTCACCTTGGGGTGGACCTAATGGTTGGGGACAAAGTTCCACCATGGGAGGCAGTGGTGGAAGTGCTGGTGGACCTGGAATAGTACCTAGTGTACCCCCTGCACCAGTGGCACCAAATATGGGAGCAATGGGAAATATGGGACCCATGGCTAATGGGATGATGGCCGGAGGATGGGGTGGACCACCACAGTCTGGAGCATATGGGCCACAAGGTGTGTACTGGTCAAGTTTTTATAATGTAGAGAAACTGTTATTAATAATATTCACTTAATGGATTATCAATGAATATCCTAATAGCCCAAAGTTAGCATGGTTTGGCTATTTAGGTAGATATAAGACTATGCTCTAATTCAAACTAGTTCTCCACTTTAGTTGTAATAATTGTTCTTGGAAGTGGGCCAAAGCAATGCAAAATAAATCCATTTAGTAAGAATGTAGAACTAATTTTTAGCTACTTCTTCTTCATTTTTTAATTCTATTAATGAATCCCACTCTGAAAAGAGCACTATCTTTGATTTATAAAGAAATTTCAAGTGTTTTTGTGGAAGTTGATTTCACAAGATGTGAAACATTTGTTAAACTAGGTGGCTTTGAATTTATTTAAAAAAATTTATTTCTTTTAACTTTGTAGATTCTGTAAGTTTTAGCAAAGATTAAATTCAAAAATCTTAAAAGTTTGAAGTTAAATGTGTGTGTGTAGAGTTGACAAAAACTGTATCAACTTGCAATTTTGTATAAAAAATCTAAGACTGTATATTGTGAATCTAATTGCTGGCTTTTAATTTTCTCCTCATTTTAGGGAAAAAAAGGTGGACTGAATCATAAATTTTTTTAAGTTTTTCTTTTTAAAGTATGTTTTGAAACAGATAATTGAGAAATTAATGCAATTTTAAAATACTAAGAAAAAGTGGATTCGATTCAGCTTTTATTAAAATTATTTGAGGCAACTTACAAAATATATATAAATTGTTTGAATTGTAGAGTTTGAAGAAGTGGATTGAAAACTATTAAGGATATTGTGTTAGAAATAGACTAATCTTGCTACAAGTAAGAAATAGCCATTCTAGTAGGGCCGTGTTCAAAGGTTGTTTACTAGTCATAAATTCAAAGATATTTCTAACATTTAACAGTTACATTGTAGGGTTAAGATTAGGGACCACGAGCAAAAAAAAATGAGACCAGACATAAGTAGTAAATTTATTGTTTTATTATGTATATTTTTTGTTTATTGTTATAAAAGTAACTACAATGTAAAAATTAGGTTTCTAAATCATTCGGGGAACGTGCAGCTCATGTTATGCTGTTGAATTTACATTACCCACGAGCTGCTCACGTGCGTGTCTTGTGAACCATTTTAATTACATTATTACTTATTTTACTAATAACATGCAAAAGCTAGACAAATTCACTTACCTCTCAAAATTTTCCTGGCTTTCTAACTATGTGACAAGAGCCATTAAAAATTCATCCAAACTAGTCGTTAACTTTCTCGTGGGAACAATTCTTGTACTGTGAAGAAAGTTGACGATCTTATGTTCAC